CTATCAAGAAATCACACAACAACAAATGTTGGCGCGGTTGTGGGGAGAAAGGAACCCTTCTCCATTGTTGGTGGGAGTGCAGACTGGTGCAACCACTATGGAAGTCAATATGGAGATATCTCAAAGAACTAGGATTAGAGGTTCCATTTGACCCAGTCATCCCTCTTCTGGGTATCTTTCCAAAAGAATTAAAAGAATCATACCACAGTGATACATGCGCACCCATGTTTATAGCGGCACAGTTTGTAATAGCTAAAGCTTGGAAACAGCCCATCTGCCCATCAGGTGGAAACTGCATAAAGAAGATGTGTTTTTTCTATAAATGGAATACTACTCAGCCATAAAGAATGAGAAAGTAGATTCATTCATAGGTAAATGGGTACATTTTGAGGATGTACTCCTAAGTGAAATAAATAAGTCACACATATGCAAATACCAAATAGTGTCTCTGGTGTGAAAAAGTAAAACAGCACTCAAGATCCTAATGGGACAATTAGCAAATAGGAAGAAAAGGACCAAAGGTGTAGGGACAGTGAGAAGGACAGGTAAAGGGGAATAAGGGAAAAGGAAAAAAATATGAGAAAATGTAAAAATGGAATTAAAGTGTTTGAAGGGGGAAGGGAGGAGGGGGTGAAGGGAGGGTGGGGACAAGGGGAAAAAATGAGAACCAAGACCTCGCATGTAAAGGTACAAGATCCCAGTAATGAATGTAACTGTACTGTCTATCTAGAATGTACCAATAAATTCAATTTAAAAGAAAAAGAAAGTAAATTGAGCCAGGTGTAGTGGCACACACCTATAGCCCCAGCACTCACGAGGCCGAGGCAGGAGGATTGCCACAAGTTTGAGGCCAGCCTGGGCTACGAAGTGAATTCAAGGCCAGCCTGAGCTAAATAATGATACCTTGCCCCTCCAAAAAAGTTAAAAGTGAATTGAAAAGAAACAAAATCTAAACAGACTAATAATAAGTAACAAGGCTAAAGCAATAATTAAAAGTCTCCTGTCCTGTCTATGAAACATAGGACCCAATGGGATTTGGCTGAATTCTACAAAACAACTAGAGCAGAACTAATTCCAATTCTTTTTAAATGATTTCAAGCAGCAGTCACTAGAGACTGGGAGGGGCTAGGAGAAAAGTGAGAAAATGGCATTAAAAAAAATGGTTACAGAGGATGTCGCTCTGGCTGTCTACAGCAGACAAGGGTAATTACTGGTCATAACAGTCCAGATGGATCCCAACATAACTACAAGAGAACCCAAATTCCCAACACAGAATGAGGAACGTAAGCCAGCAGCGCTTACTGCCCTGGTCATGTCACCACACGCTGGATACAGGTACTGAGTTACAGCAAATACACACACACATACACACACACACACACACACACACACACTTATGCACACCTCAGTTACAAAACATGCTTCCTGATTCAAGTGCCACCATGAGCCACTTAACAGTGGGTGTGTCCCAAGAAACTCACGGTGCGTGAGCATCACAGATACCCGGATGGCGCAGTCAGGCAGGACCAGCCTCCCAGAGCTGCATCAGATGCAGGGTGCTGCTGCCAGAGAAGAAGAGCATGTGGTGTACAAGTACAGAGGGTAAGGCTGCTGTGCTCTCTCAACGCAGTCTGCTTTGATACTGTCTAGTGCACCTCTTCTCCTAGGTTTACTTGGCCCAAATTCACTCTGCAGAATACGTATCTTTTCTTAGCATCATTAAATGTAAAACCTCACTACCTTTAAAAAAAATAAGAAAAAGTGCACCTAAAATAATGATCAAAAGTGGTATGGTGGACCGGTGCTTTAGCTCAGTGGTTCTGCCACCTGCCTTGCAAGCACAAGGACCTGAGTTCAATCGCCAGTGCCAAAAAAAAAAAAAAAAAAAAAAAAAGGTGGTATGGTAGATGATACACACCCATAACAGTCATGTGTCAGCATCATAAGTATTATCTCACATATAATCATGCTACTTCCATACCATTGGGCTGCTGCTGTAGGTTTGTTTACTAACCACAAACAGGCAAAGAGCATGTGGTGCTACGGCTGTGGGATGTCCGTGAATGATAGGAAATTTCTGGTCATCATAATATTAAGGGGCTGAAGGGAACTCCTCATGTGATGTGTGATTGCAGTTTGAGAACAGACACTGTGTCTTTTTCAGCTATACCCACTGGCCTCAGAGGTACTGAGGATCTGGCCACCTTCCATGCCACCTCAGTTTTCTGTGGCTGTTTTTTTGTTTTTGATACAGGGTCTCACTACACAGTTCAGGCTGGCCTTGAACTCGCTGATACTCCTGTCTTAGCCTCCTGAACCTCGTGGCCTGGGATTATAGGCACGCACCACCATGCCTGGCCACCACCTGCGTTTTCTGATCAGGTGGGAAGCACCACCAGGGTGGGCAAGCCATCAAGTCCTGGCCTGGCCCTTTCCTTCCCAGGATGTGGGGCCTGCAGAGCCCTCATGGGGACTTGCTGCACTCAGGATATGGTCACACCCCTCATTTATTTGACTGGAAGCTCTTGGGGGGCGGTTCCAGGATCCTAGCTCAACCACTTCTTTGGGACAGGCCCAAGTAGTTCATGGGGTGGGCTGAGGTCCACGCTGCAGACTTCATGAGTCCTGCATGGGACAAGCAGAGCAGATCGGACAGACTCGGCAGCTGGCCCATGAAGGACAGGAGGAGCCTGCTCCTGTCTTGGAGCTCTCCATCTTAGGACAGCTAGGGCATTGCTGCACCTGGGACTGTCACTTGGCCTTAGTTTTTACCATTTGTTCAGAGTTGGCCGCAGTCAAGATGTGGACACAGAAACAAGCAAATGGGACAATGAAAGCCAAGAGCAGAGGAGGGAAGGAAACTTTACTTAGCAGCTACTCAGTAGAGTGCCAGGTTAAAGCAAAAAACCACTTCATTGTTAAATAAAAATAAACTCAATTTCTCTAGTGCCTTAGTTCAAGCACTTCCCCAACACAGCCCAGGCCTTCTTTTAACCGGCACAGCAAAGGCAGGCCTATGCCCAGAGGTTGTGACGGATCCATTATCATCGGTCACTCCTGCAATCACACGGTCACAGATCTGCCTGAGAGCAGAACAAGCCCAAAAGACAGCTGCCTTACCAGGTATGAGAATGTTGTTGTCATCATAGAATAAAATCAAACGTGCGACTTACGAGTAATACAAATGTCAGGGTTGGCGGGACCTTCAGGATAACGCCAGGTCGCAGAGGGAAACAGGGACCTATGGGGGAGCCTGAGCCAGGCCTAAGGATCTGACCTTGGCCAGACCAAGGGAAAGCACCACGGGAAAAACAAACAAAACAACTTGCAATCTCATCGTGAGAGGCAGCCAGGAAGTTTATAGCCTGATGTCACTGGAAAACAGGGAGATTTTCTCAGCTGTGGGAGACACCTCATGCTTCCACAAAGAAGGGCTTGCAAGGTGAGCCTGCACCTGAGCCCCTCGGCAGCACACTCCATGGGGCCACACTAGAGCGCCCAGTGGGAGAAGCCTGTCCAAAGTGAGCCCAGGAGAATGGTCCCTGAAGTGGGAACCACCTGAGCCATGCTTCGTGAGGCAGGGAGCGAGGGCTGGGGACTTGAGGGGCCACATGCGTGAGCCTCAACACTCGTAGCATCTGTGTCTCAGAATTAGTGCCACTTCAGCTCCACCATGAACTGCAAAGTCTCAGGCTGTGGAAGGGGAAGAGGCCAGCCTGGCCCCAAAGGTGGCCTTTCCCCTAGGCTGAGCACTGAGCAGGCTTCCCACCTCAGCCAGGGCAGGACGACGACAGAAAGCAGGAAAAGCACTCATACTCAGTTTCCCCCATTACACCCTCACTACGCAGATCACCCTGGGACACACGTGCAGGTCTGTCCCCCACACCCAGCAGTCACTGCTGCAGCAGTCACCAGCCGGGTCCTCTAATCCCACCCAGCCCGATACCGCCTGCCTATAGACAGCACCACCCAAAGCCGGGGGCTCCTTCCCAGTGCGGCCCCCACTTCAGAGGCCACCGCAAGCCCAGGCTGTCTTCCCTGGGATTCTGACTCCCACCCTGGCTGACTACAAAGCAGAGTCCCTATGAGCCCTCTTTGGGTGGATGGACCTGCTCCTGTCACTCCTGGGGCCCGGGGAGACACTAGCTCGGTGCCTGGTTTATCATCAGGACCTTACCAAGGTGCAGAGGAGGAGACCCACAGGGCAGGTGTGGGGAGCCTGGGCTCCCTGTCCTCCCTGCGCCCTGCCCTCCCCAAGCCCTCTGAGCCCTGGCCTTGGGGTTCACAGAGGCTTTGTGACATGGGTGGGGCTGACTGCCTCACTGGGCGCTGGAGATCAGCTGGACCCTCAGCCCCTCTGCCCTCGGGGAGGCTGGGCAGGGCTGGGAGTCCCAACCCTGGGATCCTGCCTTGTTCTTTCAGTGTCAGCCCCACACTGAAGCTGCCCAGGGCTGCTGGCCAGTGGCCGGCTCATCAGCATGCAAAGACCTGTGAACCCCAGAGAGGCCAGGGTTTGGGGAGCTGTGTCCTAGGAAAGGGGAGGAACTAAACTCACATTTCACAACACCAACTGGTAGGCACAAGGTGAAGCTGAGTTTATATTAACCAGTACCTGATCCCCAGTGACCACCCTGAACACACAGAACTGGGAGGTGTCCCATGCAGCAACCAGCACACCTGCCCTGCAGACCAGAGGACAAGCACCATGGTTACAGCTGCATCTCCTTTGGGTCCACCAAAAACTTTATGGCTTCGGAAAAATTACCTCACGCTCTGCACCTTTATTTATCCTCTGGTAAAATAACTGCTCGGAACAGCACCAGCTCTAAGATGCTCTAAAATGAAAGAGAAAAGAAAGGACTAAAAGACCGAAAAAAAAAAAAGGAGAGAGCAAGCAGCCAAACACGTGTCATGGCATTATGGATGCTCTGCATGGGGAAAGTGTCCCAGACAGGCAAATTCCAGGGAGAGAGTAGAAGCAGAAATGTGGCCACAAGTTTCCTACCTCAGGTTTCCAGGGCTTCTTTCCCAGAAAACCAAAGCAAATGGACATTAAGTGGCAGGGCGGAAGTGAAGAAAAGATTTCCAGACACGCACAGCACCCCGTGTCCTTCCTGTTGGGCGCCCCCACCTTGGCTGACACCTTGGCCCCACATGGTGTCCTTGGCAGGGGTCCCTGCTCCCTTGGAGGCCACACCTGCCTCCTGAGGTCCCATCCTGGCCTCTCTGTTGCCAGCATTGCTCTCATCAGCTCTGCTGCACCAGGCACTGCACATGGCTTGTCGAGGGCCAGTGGCAAGTACAGTGCTTCAGGCCTCCCGGCCACGGGTGTGTCACGTACTCCACTCCGCCCCTGCAGAGAACACCAAGAGGCAGGAGTGGACAGCCCAATAAGATTGCACATACCAGATGCGGCGGCCTGCACTGCGGCCTGCCAAGCCCTTCTGGGTCACCACAGCAGTTCACAAGCTGCTCTAGGATCACCCACTTAAAACATACACACAAGGGCCGGGGATTTAGCTCAGCGGTTCAGTGGCCTGCCTTGCAAGCCCAAGGAACCGAGTTCAATCCCCGGTACCAAACACACACACACACACACACACACACACACACACACACACACAGGGCTCCCTGGTACCACTGTCCCTCCCAGCTACTGCCCACTAACACCCTGCTGGTGTCTGTCCCCACCATGTGCCTGGCATCTCAGTGACCAACACCCATGTGTGCTAACATCTGTGTGATGCTCTGCTCTCCAAACGCAATGCGAGTCCCCTGCCCCGAGGCTTCCTGGACATCTCAGGCCCTGGTGTGTGTGCACTGTGCTGTAGTGTTCTTTACTGATGTCTCGCCTGTACCTGCCTGACTGGGCACATCCCTGGTCCAGTGTGAAACCTTTTTTCCTAGATGAGTCAAGAGTACTATGGTGCTCGGCATCCTCAGCTTGACTCCACCCAAATATATCAAGCTCGGGAACTTTCCAGGCATCAGTGTAGACATCCGGTCATCTGCTGGGATCTCCATTCCATGCTGGGGAGACGTCTCCACCTAGCCAGCCCCCCCATGTGCTCCTCCTCTCAGCATGACTCCCCTGGACCTAGCCTCTCCCTGATTTGCTCCAAACAGTCCCTTAGCAAGTCCTGCATCCTACCCCCACACCGCTCTCCCGGGCAGGCTGCCGAGTAACCGGACCCTGCCCCAACCACCTATGATCTACCCAGCCACCAGTTAACTAGACCCAAATCATGAATGGTTACTCTTCTGGCAAAACCTTTCCCAGGGAGAGGAGAGCGTGCCTGCTTAGCACGCAGATGCCTGGATTTGATTCCCAGCAAAAACAGAAAATATGCTTCCCACACACTTTGATAAAGTCCAGCTCCTCACCACAGCCTTGGGCTCTGCAGCCTTGTCCTCAGCCTCTTCTCCTCCTGCCCACTCAGGGCTCCTGGCTTGAGGTTCTCCCCCACATTCCTAACGCTCTACCACAGCCGCGGCCCTACCCCACAACAGAGCACATGCGCACTCATGACCGCAGCTGTCAACTCAGCCTGCAAACTGCAGGGGACAGACCAGGAACGGGCCTGGGGCACAGCTCCGGCACACCACGGACACCCACGTACACGGGCTGAGCGGGACTCATCACCCCACTCCCTCCTATGTGGCCCAGCTGTCCAGTGATGTGTGTGTCCTGAGTCTGTCTTCGGTGCCTGCCTGCTGAAAGCTGGAACCCGCCCCTGCTGCTGCAGACTCAGAGACGCGCTGACCCTGCATCCAGAGAACCACATGGGGGTCACAGCACACCTCAGGGTCCACGGCTCATCCGCACCCAGGGAACAAGGCCATGGCCACACGGCCGGACACCTGAGGCTCCGAGATGGCGTCACGCGTCTCTCTCAGCACTTCCCGCACAGTGTGCCCACAGTGAGGCTCAATAGCAAGTAAACACGCTATTTTTAGTTTATTTCCAAAGTAAAAGAACCGGCAACACTTTGCACAACTTTTACACCTTGGACTCCAGGCTGCAGGGAGAACAGAGGGGCAGTGTGTAGTGCGGGGGCGGCGCGGGCCTTTTCCATGACCTGTCCTCCGCCTGCGAGGACCCTCTTTCCACTCCCTCAGAGGCTCTCCTCTTCCAGTGCCACACTGCAGCCCTTTCCAGGGCATGTGCTGGCGCTGCAGAGAGCCGGTGCCGACTGCAACCCCCCTCCTGTTGTTTTCCTTGGGGCACCCCACCCAGAGGCTCAGGTTTTGCAGGCCTGGTGGGGCCAGAGGATGTACATCACTTGCTACTCCTGGCTGCGCCGGGTTGCTGGCGGCACACCTGAAGCAGTCCTCCCTCCACCTTATACAGTGGTGCCGACACTTACACGAGAGGGCCGCCATGTGGACATGGGCAAACACAGCACCCAATGTCAGTCACAGAGTGAGTGGCTTAGTGCCCTCAGCGCTCATGTGAGCACATTATGCCCAGCCAGGGATCATGGTCCCTCTCAGCCACAGCACTGCAGGAATTCTCAGCAGCGCCTATCTGAACTTCATACCGTGTTGGAAAAATAAACTGTCCGTTTCTTCTCTGTGCTCACATCATAAGCAGCATAAAAGACTTCTGAGGCCACTAGAAGTGGAAGGACTTCCCTCTACCATCGAGCAAGTAATTCAGCAGTGTACAGTAGGTAGAGTCCTCAAGTCCAACTCAGCTCCAACGCTGCTCCCTGCAGACAGCACCAGTCCGACAGAACAGCAGACATGTTTGAGATTTGTGTGTGCATGTGGAAAACACAAATGCAAACTCGATTTCTCTTAATCACTTCTGACAGCAGGCATATGGGAATCTTTCAGTAAGCAAGCAATCCTGCAGAGAATGTCAGATGGGTCCTCCAGTCCAACTCAACACCCCACAGGTGCCCCCACCTCAGGTGCCACCACAAGCCCAGGCTGTCTTCCCTGGAATTCTAACCCCCACCCTGGCTGGCTACAAAGCAGGGTCCCCACAACCCCTCTTCAGGTGGATGGACTTGTTCCTGTCACTCTAGGAGCCCAGGGAGATGCTAGCTCGGTGCCTGGTTTATCATCAGGACCTTACCAAGGAGAAGGAGGAGACCCACAGGGCAGGTGTGTGGAACCTGGGCTTCCTATCCTCTCTGGGCCCTGCCCTCCGCAGCTCAGATCCCAGGAAACTCTCTGAGCGCTGGCCTTGGGGTTCACAGACATGTTGTGACATGGGTGGGGTTGATTGCCTTGCTGGGTCCTGGAGATCAGCTGGACCCTCAGCCCCTCTGCCCTTGGGGAGGCCGGGCAAGGCTGAGAGTCCCAACCCTGGGATCCTGCCTTGTTCTTTCAGTGTCAGCCCCTCACTGAAGACACTCAAGGCTGCTGGCCAGTGGCCGGCTCATCAGCACGCAAAGACCTGTGAACTCCAGAGAGCCCAGGGTTTGGGGAGTCGTTTGTCAGGATACAGGAGAAAGACCAAATACATATGTGACAACATGTCCTCATACCTGTGTAGGAGGGAAGGGATAGAAAGAGCCTGGGGACGTAAGGGGAGACGGGAAGAGCAATACAACAAATGAATACATATGCCTAGGAAAACAGACTCTGTTCCAGACAGTGTTAAAATGCCATCTGTGGGGGGACCGTGGATGAGTCTCTCCACCTCAGCTCTCTGTACACTCCACTTCCTACCTTCACAATAAAGAACTGCACTCTGCAACCATGAGTCTCAGTGAGGCCCACAGAATGAGGCCATCACACAACCCTGAACTGGCACTCTCCTCTTGTCCCTGTGCCTGCCCCTGTCCCTCTTCACGCCACACCCCACAATACTTGGACCTCAGACTCTCCTAGGACTTCAGTCGCCCTTTTCTGATCTAGTCTGTTCCTGTAACAAAGACTCAGGGGCTGGGCCTACAGGTGCCCTGTGAGTACATGAAAACAGAGTGAAGCTTGGCATCTGCCTTCATTGTGTACCTGTCTCCTTTACTACCTCACGAGTTTGTGTCAGATCTGTGCTCAGATCTGTGTCAGAATGTGCCCATAGGCACATTAACCACTTAAGGAGCGTCTGTCTAAAACTAGTAACCCAAGGGTTATTAGCCCTAATGTATCTAGTCTTTCTGGTCCTCCTTAAGACTAAGAAAGCCAGGTGTGGTGGTGTACACCTGTAATTCCAGCACTTGGAAGGCTGAGGCAGGAGGATCAGAGCAAGTCTGAGGTCAGCCTATGAGACCCTATCTCAAACAAAACAAAACAAGATTGAGAACATCAAAATAAGAGCAGCTAAAGTAATTCTGCACTTGCAGGAACATCCAATTGCCAATTTTTGCAACATCCAGTACAGATCCCCTGGAGTGAGTTTCACAGTCTTAAACCTACATCCACATGAGACTTCAGGAAAAGCAGAGCTGCAGTCCACCCCATGATGAGGAAACCCTCCAAATCCCCAATCAGAAGCAGTTACCCCATGACAGCAGGAGCCCTGAGCTCACGATGGGTCTCCCAGAACCTCGTAGAACCAGTTCAGATAGCCATCGATGGACTGCGAGGACCCATGCTTCAAGAGATAGAATCCAATCCTTGCTTCGTTTCTGGCCACACTAATAAAGGCCTCTTCCCTGCCTTCCTCCCGGCTCCTCACCTTGACTGGCGTCTGGGGCGGGGCAGAGCCTGCCCTGTGGGGACCCGGGGCACCCGGCTTTCTCGAGCCAACCTTTCGGGGCATTCTTTCTGGGAAAACACCGCACTCCTCTGGAAGGGCCCGCCACACTATCCGCCCCGAGGCCCCGAGGCGCAACTCCTCCCAGCCCGGACCCCACCGACCGCCGGTCCCTGTCTGTCCCCAGCACCCGCGTCCGTTCCCCAGGACCGCATTGGCCCCTGGACCCGCTGTCCTTTGGGCTCTGAGGAGGCGAAGGATCGTGCCCATCACCGCGTCCACTCTGGCGGGCGGGTTCTCTCGAGGCAGAGCGCGAGAAGCCAGTGCTGCCACTCACCTGGCGCCGGAGGCGCGGACGGGAGCCCGAACGCAGCCCCGTCACAG